GGCTCCTGCGTTGCCAACTACCTGCTATGATTTTGTGTTTTACGATAAAATCTCACAGTAATGTTGTTTATGCAACAAAATTAGTTGATTTTCAGACGTCCACAGAGTAAATCACCACCTTTTAGCTTCAGAGAAAAACCACAGCCGAGCTCTGACGCCCGCTGCGTTTTTAATAAATCTCATAACGTTGCACCTGTTGACAGCAAAAGCTGGACAAACTGCAATTTACACAGATGTGATGAGCGTGGAAGGGTGAGGCGGTGGAGCTGCCAAAACTCACAGCTTATACAACAGGAATATTTCCTCTTGGCAGCGGCAGCGGCAGCAGCAGCAGCAGCAGCAGCAGCATCTATATAGACTTGGCAAAACTTTGAGAAACAAAAAAAGTCCGATCCAGGTCACGCAGGGTGAAATGTCTATTTGTTTGTGTAAATCAAGCCTCTGGCACTGCCCTTGGTTCCTGTGATGGCTGTCTGAGATCTCCTACTGTGTCGTAGCTACCAGCACCAGCGGAACAGACATAATGAATGTTCGACTCCCAAACAGTGTCTGGCTGCGCTCGCAGCCTCCATATTTCTCCCACTTTCTGTCGGTTGGTTTGTTTCACACTCTTGCCTCCACCTTCTTCCTTTCTGCCTCTCTCTCTTTTCTATTGTCTCTGCTTCTTGCTTTATTGACTCTCAGCCTTCACATGTTAGAACAGCTACGCTACAGCAGTGAACAGTCAATACACAACCTGGACCACGGCTCTCAAACTGCCAGGCCAGGGGCTGCTCTCAGCCCACAGACCCTCTTCGACCTTCAAATTTATTTTAGATTTTTTCTTTTCAATTTCAATTTTTTTTATTCATTAAAGTGATTTAATAAGATTTGAGAATGAGAATTAATGTAATAGAATATCGTGGTAGAGCATTTGACTGCAAATCAAGAGGTCTCCAGTTCAAATCCAGGTGCCTCCTATCTTACTGTTGGTTCCATAGTGTAGCAGTTAGCACGCCTGCCTCAGGAACCTGGGTTCGATTCCCAGAGGAACCACATGCTTGGCGCTTGCTAGGGGCAGCCTAACAGCAAATCTGCTGCTAAAACAACAATTTCCCAAATATGGGATCAATATAGTACAAACTTTTATATATATATATATATTATATATTTGTACTGATTTGCTGTTCAGTTAATAATAATAAATAAATACAGCTGCAGTATGGCCAAATATATAACGAATAAAATATAATGATCCTAAAAAATAATAATAATAATTTTTTACTCTTCTGTCTCCCAGAACAAAACACTGTGTCTTTTCATAACCCAAACAAAGGAATAATTTAACCAGAAACAAAAATGAAAGATTAAACTAGAATAAAGAAAACAAAGGCAGGCCAGTGTAATAGTGGCGATAACTCAGACTGCTGCCTTTTTTCTTCCTCCTAACATCTTTTCTGAGCCTCTGCCTCTTTCTTGCATGCATCTTAATGGGCTTTCATGCCTGAAGCAGATTGAAGGCCGGAGCAGGAATCTGCTGCATTGTGGTATATCTGGCTGCTTCAATAATAACTCATATGACAACACTCTGAGCAATCGCACATTCCCCTCTCCACACCATCACCGTTCCAGCACTGTGCCTTTGAGTAGACAAGTTCACCCTGAATAATTTAGCTACAGTGAGCAAGTTCGCCCAGAGGAAGTTCCAGCAAAAAAGTACATCATGTCTGCCCCGCGGCAGGATCCGTGGGACAGTGACAGCTTCAGTCATGTCTGATAGCTGGGAATGTGCACGACACTAATCACTGGTACATCCAGGTTTGTGACGCCGTAATGGAGAACACGACCCGGGGGCCCCGAGAGTGTGGGAATATTAACCAACATTAACAAGGCGGTCGATTCTGCATCCATCACTCCGGTGGAACACAAATATGTCAATGTGGCCGACGGAGGCGTCAAATACGGCGTAACATCGAGGCCAATGCTTCGTTGACCCTCAAATTGAGTGACGTTGAGGGAAGCGATGGAAAGTTTCTTAACCACGAGCACCAATCAAACTTCAGTGTAAAAGGTGGTAGATTTACAGATGGCTGTTCAGGTATTCAGTGTTGTTTAGGTCAGTGGTTTTGACCAAACTAAGGTGTGGGGCGTGCCTCCCTTAGGGGGCGCCGGAACATTTCAGGGGAAGTGTAAAACAACATCTAAGCCTGCTAGCTTACATACAAGAATTAATGCAAAAACTAAAGGAAGTATGACATTGATTTTTTTTTATTTAGATTTGAATGGGCCAGTGTGTGACATCAATTTTTTCGTAGAAACATAAAATTAATTGTTCATTTTTGCAACCTGGGAGCTTGAATATTAATACTTGGGAATTAGGAATTCTGGGATCCATGGAAGGATATGACAATGGGCTTCTTTGTGACACACATGAGAACATGAATACAGTTCTATGTACAGTGGAGAATTCATTTTTTGATGTAAGTCTGATACCCACCCACTCAAAAGCAATATTTTACAGTAATGTTATGATACATTTTTTGGCTCCCCATCAGTCAGGGGCCCTTGGAATCCATCCACATACCCCGCCCTTTCATACAGGGCCACCTCTTATAACGACAACTGTTGTCTGCCTGTGTTTATCCTTTACACATTCAATGTGCTTCTTCCCAAAAGTGTTTTTTCTGTTTGGTTTTTAGGTTCAGATTGCTGAAAAAACAAGTGGAGCTCCTGCTGTGCACGATAAAGTAATTAAAGATGAATGAAGGAATTTTTAAAAAAAAAACAAACTCATGAGCCTGTATGAATCTTTTGAAGTTTGGAGGAGCAGCAGAATAGGCCCCTCATGTTGTCAAAACGTTGGTTAAGTCCAAAGTTTTGTGCTCACAAAGTGTTGCCTCGTTCCGCTGCCTCAGACATTTGGGACCACCCCTGGTTACAACAACACAGGTTTGTGTCTCCTGTATCTGCTACATCACAGAGGAGCCTTACACTCATTAGTGTGCGGCTCCTGTGGGGTCCCGGGTCCTTACAACCCATCAACCCACCCTTCGGTGGCCCCTTGGGCTCAGAGCCCCAAACACAACAAATCCGTGAAACACAAACATGTAGTAGCATCTCTAATGCCCCAATCTTTACTCTTCAAAAACACAATTATGCTAATGCCAGGAATCATTTGCTATTCCACGTCGTGCGACATAAACTGGAGAGAGTGCGAAGGAGCCTGTCGATCACGCCGGAGCACAGCGAGCGTGGTGAAAGAGGGAGCGAGTGGAGAAAGGGAAAGTCTGAAAGCTATGCAAATGAGGCGAGAGGGAGCGCCACGGGGAGGCGTGAATCTCTGCCGCTTCAGCGCCGGGCTGTAAATATCACCGTGACCCGTGGACATGGCCGAGTCATCTCATTAACACAGATTGGAAAGTGTCACCGGAGTTTGGCCCAAGAGGTTCAGCGTTGGAACGTTTCAACCCGAGCGTTTCCGAGGGCGCCGTCATTAAACCGGTGGCGAAACAGCGAAATTAGGGCCACGTTCAGCCGCGTAAACTGCTTATTCCACTCACATCATCCTTTCCCGGCGTAACTACCCCGGGGTAGGAAGGCACAGCTCCGCTCTGCTGGACACTGACTAGACTCACATAATGTGCTGCAGTTCAGAATGCAGCCCGAATGCATGCTGTGATTGAATTTGAAGTCTTTCACACGGCCACTTTGCAGGTGACTGAGTGTAAAATTAAAAAGGCAACATATGGACACAGGAGTCATCTCATTAACATCCGCCGCGGGCTGAACACAGCTCTCCCGCACTTTTCCGAACAGTAATTGTTGCACGACTTGAACTCAGAGTCTCATCATCATCATCATGACAACAGGTGGATACAGATTGTGCAGGTAATCACTCAGCGCTTTTGCAGCGCTGCAGTTCTCTTCTCTAAAAATAAATTAGAGGGAGGGGGGAGAAAAAAAGAAAAGTATGAAACAGAAGACAAAAGCAGACAAAAGTCAGAGAGAAGGTGCTTATTAGCAGCCGGGCTTTTATTCAGATTTAAATTATGTTCCCATTTCCACCGAGTTCTTCCTAACTTTCATATCCTCTCAGGAGACAATTCAGAGCTTTATTCGCTTTTGGGGATTTTCTTTTTGTATTATTATTAATTAGGGAACCTTTTGTCCTGACAGTTCTTTTAGAAGTTTGACTAAAATTAGCGTGAGCTTGTGAGGATGTCATTTTCACACAGAACCAAGGTGGCAGTTGTGCTGCTAACAGAACCATTAGCTCCTGATTAGCCACTAAAACATTATGTGGCATAATTGTTTTATCACTTTTAAGCACATTTTCCCAGCAGTGGTTTTCCATTAATCACGACAGTAATAGTTATGTGAGGTTACTAAGAAGAAAATTTTTTTTTTTTTTATTAGATTTTAACAAGCATGTTAAGTTTTGTCTTGTCCCTTGAGAGTGTACTTGAAATAAAAAAACATTTTAAAAAATCAGGGGAGGAAACTGTAATCAAGGCTGCGAGTCTCAACAGGCTGCTGCCGTTTTGTTAAACATGATGTCGAAATACAGCCGCCTGACTTCACTTCTGCAGGTTTCCCTCTTGGGGATTCAGCAGCGGGGAGTAAACGAAGCGAAATGTGCAGAAACACGACGACCGATTTAAAATTCATGGGAAGAGCAGCCCTGCTGTAGGATTAGAGTCCAGGATATCGATCCTGTGCCTCAGAGTTTCACTTTCTTGTACTTCTGATCCCGTCCTTGGTTTACGGACAAAGTCAGTGACAAGTGAATGCATCGTTGAGATTTCAACATTAATATTATATTAATCAGAATGAATTGAATTTTTCATTGCAAAAAACTTAAAACTTAAGCTGAAGCAGAGCTAAAAATACACTGAATAAAATATGGCGTGCGTGACACATCAGTCAGTGCTCACACTTCACAATGTCTAATCTATACTTTCACACCATCATCCGTCAACTCGAGACTCTTGAGAAGAGACAGAAGGAACAGTGAGGCTCACCGGTGTGTTCAGGACAGCCAGTGCACTGACAGGTTTTCAGGTTGGGTGACAGCCGACGCGTCTCCTTGGCACATGCCGTCTTCCTGACCTGGAGACAAGATGTACAGAAATGGTGGTAAGAATTTTGCTCTCAGACTCCATCCATCTTATTCCTGTAACACTGAATGATTTTTTTTCTTGGCCTGGAGACAGAAATTCCACTTCAGTCACTTTAGGAAAAAAAAAAAAAAAACAATTTCCAGAGTTTGATGGAACATTTGTCCCCAGTGTCATGAAATATATGGTCCCACTGGCAGATAGGTCATAATTATGTAGTTTTTGGGTTGTGTGGTAAAAATGACAGAACCCAAAATGTTAATGTTGATGAGGTGTGGTTGAGAAGAGGTGGGCGTGGCCTCGAGTACGATCACTCTGGGCCGACAGAAGGTGAAGGATGACAGGAATTTCCTTTTGTTAAAACCGTCTCCAAATCTTGGTCTTCTTTTTGCTCTCAGTGTCATTTCCAAACACTTGACTTTAAATGTTTTCTTTGCTCTAACTGTGGTGCTTGTAGAGTCTCATTTCACTGAGTCTGAGTAAAAAACACCTGCAATCTGAATATGGTTGATTTACTCTCACCTAGTCAGACAAAGGAAATCTGTCTACACCCAGTGATTTAACCATGAAAGTGGTTCAATTCATTAATTATACCCTTGACAGTATAATCTAAACAGCAGCGATCGGAAATGCTCTGTTCCACTGGACCTGAGTCGGAAGTGCAGCTGCCTGACAACCACAGGGTTGTGGGTTAAATTTCCCTGTCTGGTAGACTTGCTGCAGATGACCAAACCTGCCAGGAGTGGTCATCAGTATCAACACAAACGATTTCTAATTTCTCTGCAACCTTAAACACCAAGAGATGATTTTTTAAAATTATTCTACAACTTAATAATATTCATCACCAAACTCCCACCACTGTAATGGTGCCAGTACTGCAGTATGTGATGTTTTAAGTACTGCAGTAATACCACAGATTTATATAGAAGTACAAAAGGAAAGCCTTAAATGACTTGAATTCCTACAATGATTAATTAATAGAAACTGCATTCAGTATTTATTATAATACATTTACTACATTTAGTACTACATATCACCAACAGTGACCTCTCTTTGTCTTAAAGTTGCCTCTTGCCTTAGGAGGGGCAGTGACATTATGGTGGTTGGCTGTTAGCAAGCAAGCATAAACCTGTGGTGTAAAATTATTGTTAATAATGTATACACATATATACTGGTCAATTGACCCAGTCAAATCTGATTTTGTAAAAGGGCCAATGCAAAGGAACTCAAGAGCAGTATGTGGCTCAGGAGCCATAGCTTGCAAACCCCCGCACTATAGTCTTTTCTGTAGGTCAGGGGTCTCAAACTCAGAGGAGCTGGGGGCCACTGTTACCCATGCCATCCCAGTGAAGGGCAAAAAATAACAGCCCAGAGTCGGACTACGTTATACTGAAATCTAGTTGTGACAATCCCAGCCTGCGGGCCGGGAGTTTGACACAGTGAAATCTGCTCAAATGAGACATGGAGAATTACTACAATAACACCACAGATGGATGCAGTAATATATGTATATATATATATATCTGCAGTGGAAAATTGTGGTAAAGTTAATGAAGTATACTGTGAGCTACCGTGTTTATGAGTTTCTGTAAGAGTTCACAGCGTAAATCCAATTTCTTCAGAACCTGAAACTGTTCTCAAACCTCGACTAAACTCAGGCATCATCGTCGGTGGAGCGGGTAGAGATTTAAATATTCCTTTTAGTCTTGGCTGAGAAGGATCCTGCAGCAACGCAGAGCTCCTTTTAAGCACAGACACTGTTGATTCCACCCTTCATTAAACATTTATCAGCAGACGTACGCCAGCGCAAATGTCTGCAGTCACGGTGTGTCAAAAACAAGGTGCTCTTGTACCAATGTGCCGAGAATTAACTGTGGGGCGGCGCAGCATTCATATTCGTTTCAGAGCATCACACTCAAGGTCGCTGACTGTTAAGTGGCAAAGCCATAAAAAATACCCACACTGTTTGTGGCGTTCATACAGCAGGAGCTTCTTTGCCCGAGGACATCAGGAGGGGACGGCGGCAAATAGGATGAGCTCATATGGAGTCTGGAGGAAAAACAATAAATCCCATCTGTCTCCAAAAGGACATTGTTTAAGTAGGAAAAGAAGTAGGTTTGTCCTATGGCTAAAAAAGGCTGGGGTTGGTTTGGTTTGTTTTTTCATTCATATGTTTCACAATGTAAATAAACTGTAATAGAATTTTTATGAAAGTTGATTAATCAATCAATAATTTCATCTTATTTATTTGGAAATTGAAATCCTATTGAGAGGAAACAGATGATAAATAACACAACTGTTTAAACAGATTCAATTATAGGGGATTACAGTGGCTAAGAATCAGGTTTTGTTGGACATTCTATCAAGATGATCCATTTTTTTACTCAGATTTATCTCCTATGACACTTCCCTTCTATTTTCCTCTAAATGGGATCAGCGAAATAACAAAAAAAATCCACATGGTTTCTTTCACATTATCTTTCAAAATAAGTAAAACACTGTGTAATTTCCACCAGTGGTTCATACTGTGTACATCACGTGTATCGTACAAGTTTGTATATGTCTTAATATGTATATATATCCACATGGTTTCCTTCACAGTTTTCATTTACAGTATCTTTCAAAACACACTGTAATTTCCACCAGTGGTTCATACTGTGTACATCACGTGTATCGTACAAGTTTGTATATGTCTTAATATGTATATATATCGCCCGCAGGGTTTCGAAGCCAAAGGTTTTTATGATTTGTAGATGTTTAGAGTGAAAATATATGCATACATTTGAATGATGGGGACAATGAAGTGCAGCCTATGTATTGGTTCTGAAAGTCAATAAAGAGAAACCTCATTCTGTCAAGAACAGTATATCTTAACGCTCATGAAGAAATCAATATAATATAGTTGGAGAGAGATACGGCTGACAAAAAAAACAAAAACAAAAAAACAAAAACAAAATGGTAGTGTTGCTGAGGTTGGCATCAGAGGGCCCTTTATAGTGAACTTGATTAAAAGAAAATTGCTTTCAAGTGCTCTCAGCAGGCTGGGAGGTTGAGTGGGAGTAGGCTCTTATGTGCAGCGCTGGTGGAGTTTTACAAACTACGCTTTCAGGGTGAGAAAACAAGATGAAGAAATGCTTGGGAAAGTGCCGGAGGACAAAGAACGCGGAGGCACACTCGTGACATGGTGCTGCAGTATTATTGCCGTTATCATTTTCGCTGCATTTTCATTTAAATGCCATTTCTGCAGCTCCACAGATGAAATTCATTTCTTTTATTTTTTTCCTCCATGACCTCGGACTGATGGAAGGGTTTTGGTGCCTCTGTGTTTTATTTCATGGTTGAATATTTGCTAAATATTAACTTTCATTGCATTTAATGGGAACTGAAGGTTTCAAATATGCATTTCTTCTGGCTTTAACCAGATGAGCGAAGACTGGCATGTGGGCGTCAATAAAAGGTGATGAAAAACAACAAAAAAATAAAATATGAAAATCAAAGCAGGTGAGTGTAGATTTGAGTTTGTCAAATATTCACCTACTGTCTCGCACTGATGGGGTTTGGAAATGTTAAATAAAATCTTTCTAATTTATTTCTTCTTGAATTTAAAATGACATCAAGAGATCAAATCCTGTCCCTCGCTCCCATGAAACGTCCCCATAATTGGCTTTTAAGGGGAAGAGTGAGAGCTGGTGAATAATTTAAGCCTTTTGGTTTTGATGTATACTCCGCCCTGGGTAAGAATGTTGAAAATCCATTACTGTGCAGGATTAAACTTCTTTTTTTTCTTTTTTTGCTGTTTTAAATTTGCGCCTGATTTGATTTACATTTACTTTTTCATCTGCGTCCTCATCTGCACACATTGTCAGTCAAGTCATGTCTGGACTGAGTGGCAACAGGAGCCGCCCACTGAGGAGGTTCTCACACAGCACTGGCTTTTGGTGCTCTGCTCTAGTTCTGATAATCGTGATCCAAAACCTGTTTTATACAGGAATATACTGGTCACGTTTGAAAAAAAAAAAAAAAAAAACAGGGAAGGTAGCTCAACCAACACTCTAGGGGGTGCTATAAATTAAATTAGGATTTTCATGTCCATTAACTTGTCCATCGCTATTGTCTTATTTAAATCTGACTTAGTCTTTTTTCACAGTAAAAATAAAAGTACTTCATAGTTACTTTAAGTTCATCTCCTAATGGGAGCTGATCCCGACCCTCCCCCCAATACTTTCCTCTCATTGTCTTTGTATATATTTTTTTGTATATATTTTGCTTTAGGGTTTCCAAAATAGGGGGACAGGACTCCCCAGAAGGCACAAAAGGAATAAACGGGCACATTTTTGTGCCATAGTGGGGAAATTGAACTGAAAATGTTTGAATTTCTCTGTTTAAAAAGAACAGGAGTTTTATAGGATTTAGTGTTTTAAATAAAGTCCAGGGTTAATACTTCAACGTCTATGAAATGCTTATGTATAAACAATGCATAACACAGTGGACCCTCTTGATACGAGCTTCCCGAAATCCCATTCTGTTACGAGTCTGCAACTATTGCAAGACTTTCTCATGAGAAAACGAGCTCCATTTACTGTCCATCGCTTGGTTGTTTTACCCATTTTTATAACAATAATATAAAATGTTTTTTTTTTAATTATTATTATCTTATATCATCAATATATTTGTGGGGAAAATTCACGCTAAATTTCTGGGGGGAACAAATTCATTAGTCTTTAGTTAACCCAGATATTTGTATCTGTTCTCCAGGTCGGACTTTGCAGCTGAAAGTACTTGGCGTTGTGCCGACACTGGACAGAGAGACAGCCATGTGTCCCTCAGACAGAGAGACACGTAGACAGACTGACACCGAGTCCAGACGGGACACCTCAGTGACCACACACTCAGACGGCTGAAATTCCCCGCTCCAACAAACTCATCCCACAGGATCGATGGCTGCTGTGACAACAGCCCTTCTCGTCACAGGCTGGAGAACAAGCTGTTGTGAAGGTCTGAGAATGGAAGATAGGCCCCGGAGGGGAGGCTTGATTTACGAGCCCCAGTCAAGATGGAGGCAAAGTCGCCCACGTACTGTAGACGGCCTTCCTGCCGCATCATTCTCCTTCTCACTGCCACTTTACTCGTCTTCCCTCCAGTGCCTATTTGCCTGCCTGTTGACAGGCGGAATGGGCAGAAATGACAGATCACTCGGCGAAGAAAAAAGGAGTCATTTCGGGGTGTTCTTTACCTTCAGTTTGATGTGTTGGTTGGTGAGATTCTAAATGTCACCTTTAGCTGGTTTAGTTATTTTTTGTACAAACTGTAGGAGTGGGAGATGCTTGTCAATGTTCAGATAGATAACGCAGCCGCAGATCTAAATTTAACATGCCAGCTAGCTGTCGACCACTGCTCAACCTTAGGGAGGTTAAGTGTGCTGGGAGACAACAATATCACCCTGAGGTAAGACACACAACACATCACTGACAGAAGAGGAGAGAATGAGGGGGTGGGGGTGCACTACTCCTTCAGGTGATCGAACCTTTCTTTGGTACATTAGGCAAAAAAGGGAGAAGACAGATTTGTTCTGACTGACGCAGAGCCGGAACATTTCAGTCATTAGGATGTTGTCTTTGTCCTGGAGCAACTTTGCAGCAACATGTCTTTTTACTTGCCGAAATGACATTTCAAAATATTTGGGTTTTAGTTTTTTTAAGGAATTGGGCGGGAGTTTTGGAGACACATTTGTAGGATTCCTGCCCTAAACGCAAAAGGTTCCAGGTTCAGTTCTACTTAGGTGTCAGGTCGGGGAGGACTTGGTCAATAAAGTTTTAGAATTTAACTAAGTTTCTAACCACATGTTAATGAAAACTAGGTTAAAAGTTGCTGGTTGTCTACCTCAGGACGTGACTCTGAATGTTACAGAGTTCAGGAAAAACCTTTCTAGTTCTAGTTAAAAAAAACGTTGCTGTGAGAAGATATGCTAAGATGAATGCTTTGAAAGACCAGAAGCATCAAAGTATCACTGGCTCAGGTTTCCTGAAGACCAAGAGACTTTCTTCAGTTCTGAACCAGTCCAGTTGCCAAACCAGGGTTGAAATGACCAGGGTGACTAAAAACCCTACCACAGACATCAGGCCGATAGAAAATGTTGTGTGTTTCACAAAGGTTTAAGGCAGGGGTGTCAAACATAAGGCCCATGGCCCAAACTTGGCCTGCTAGGGGGTTCAATCCGACCTGATTGACGAATTTTGAAATTTAAAAAATTTGCACAAATGCTCCATGTTCATTGGTGTGGACATCTTGCCATGTCTAGCAGAGCTACAATGAAATGTAATTCTTGAATACAACATACAAGTGATTTGAAATTTGAACACTCAACTGATCTGTCTTTGGTTTGTGGACTTTGAAGGATTTTTTTTCTTCAGTATTTTGTCTTCTGCCCTTTATGAACTAAATGACTGGTTAATTAACCTAAAAAGATTTCAATAATCTCTTTATGTAACAATGACATTGCTTGTTAGTCTCAGTCGTTGTGAGTGACAGCGTTGGAGATGTTACATAAGAACGTCTGCGGCAGTCACCTCCTCAGTGCAAGTCTTTTTTTTTCCAGCTAGAGGAGCAGCCAAAGTACTTGAAGAATCATAAAAGTGAAAGATGAGCAGAAAAATTGCATTTTAAACACCTCCAAAGAATCTAAATCAGACGCCTCATCAGCCTGTGCGGCGCGATGACCTCATATTCTGGCGATGCCTTTCCAACCAACACGGTACAGTTGAAGTCCCCCCTCTCCCCCCTTTCTTTAATTTATCGGTGAAGACACCCTGCCTCCATCTCCCTCCTGAGCCGTATCAATATTCATGGCTCTGCCGGCTGCGTTTGTGCGATGGCTGTCTCATTAGCCTTTGATCCCCCTCGCGCGGGCCTTGTCGGCGCTTCACCGCGCCAACAACAGAGCGACGTTTGAAGTGCAGAGAGAACAGCTGCTTGCATTGATCTCCATACACTTTCTTTGCCATCCACATGCTTGTCCACAGACACACAGATGCTGCCCACGGCCACATGAATACATGCATCTACTTTAGGAGTTTGCAGGGAGTGACCTCAAGACGGCAACAACTGTGAGCGCAGCCTTTCTCTAACTGTGCTGTGACGGCGAGGCTGAAACGAGGCGGCTTCTCAGAAGTGATAAAAAAACACCAGCCTCTTGTTATCACTGTCTATAAATCTGTGGCTTTACAACAGAATAACATGGGAATTCTGCAGACAATGTGCCAACGACCAAAACCAGGAATGGTGATTAAAAATAAAAGTGTCTGATATAAATTTACATCTGTTAATTTTTACCTTTTCTAGTTTCCTTTTTGTCTTCTACATATCCTGTGGGTCATATTATCATTATTGATTCTCGCAAAGAAAATGCGTATTGTTACCCAGTTTTAAGTCGATTACTCTTCTATTCTGTGCCTTGCACTGATTTTAAAGTCTTAATATGATCTATATCTGGTTAAGTTTTACTGCAGTTGCTCACGTGACATTTTCTCCGCCCATTTTTTTTCTCTCTTTTTGGCTAAATCTTGACTGCCATTTTAACGAAATGTTGGCTAAGTGCTTGAAATCCTTCGGTCTACAAAAGGTTTTTTTGTCCATAATGTTCTAAACATTGGATATATTTTTGCTAAATATTACTTTTGTTGGCTAAAGCTAATTTGACTTCGCTTTTCTTGGTTTAAAACGTGCTTTGGGCTAAATTGCGCTGTTCCAAAAAATTAGTTAGTTTTGCTTTTAATGACTTATCAGTTGCATTTTGACTAGGGTTGTTTTTTGGTTTGTAGTTCTGGCAAACTTTAGTCTAATTCTGCCATTTTTAAAAAATGTATAGCATTGTGCTAACGTTGAATCGCTTAGCATAATGTTAGCTTCATTTTTAAGCTCTTTTAGGATTTTTTTTTCCTTTTTTCCCTTTTCTGTGTCTTTGTTTTTTGCTGATATATATCGGCTTTTTACTTAATTGACTTTAGTTTTGCCTTTTTGGACTTTTTATCTATTTTAGCGATTTTCTGGAAAACATGACTTAGATGATAAAAAACAATGGAGTTTTTTTTGCTGCTGGGAATTTTCACTCAGGCTTCATTAGTTTAGAGAATCGCTCTGAGGAGCAATTATAAGAATTTCAAGGTCAAATTATGTAAATGGATTTTGTTTCAGACTCTGTCTTCTTTTTTCTCAAGAAAATAATTGACAGGTGAATCGAGCAGTTGCAACAAACAATACAACAAATAACACATTGGAAAATTATATTTTCAATCAATGCATCTCAAGTCAAAACAATCAGACAAAAAAAGACAATATTCCATCACATCATTCTTTTTTCTCAATATTTGAAAGCATTAGTTTGAAACCTACACTAAGACTTAGAAAATTGACAATTTAAATTTTGAGCCTACCAAAGTCTGATTTTCTCCTATTTTCACACAATACTTATTTCTATGCAGAGTTTCATTTCCTCGGGAAAGAGCCAGGCGATAATTTGGTGCAGCCTGCTCCACCCTGATGTCACAGAAAATCACCGGGTTTCATCACCTTCTAAATTTTACATGAAGGTCTGGAAATATGAAATGATACCGTTGAGTCATTAAAAAAAATGAGATCTGTGATAATGTCATGGGATCGGTGTCTTATTTTGACCTTCGGCCCCACTCTTTGTCATTACAGTTTGAGTTCATTTCCTCCCTGTTATCATGTCTCAGAAGGTCCACTTAGTATGACATCATGACACCTGCACAAAGACACAGCGCCGCGCTGCGCTAGTCCACTCGATAATTCTCCCCTCTCTTCTCTGAACACGTATCTGCTGCATGCTGATAAAAAAAATAAATAAAAAAACACGAAGACCTGCGGCTGCTCTGAACAACTGTTGTCCCTCTGGGAACTGGTCGGCAGATCAATACTGCAAATGTGCCTGATAACATTAGAGAGGCCTTAATGGCACTAATGAAGAGAGTGGTTGACACATACTTAGGAGACTTGGGTCAAAGGAAGAGTCTTAGACACGGAGGTGGTGTTAAACTCTGGCTCTAAACAACTCAGCTCTCATTTCTGGTACTAGTTAGGCATATATTTAAAAAAAATGACACACTGATACAAATACTTCAGAATATTACATGTAAATGATCAAATATCGCATGGAAAAAATAGACTGGTTTTCAGGCATAAAGTATAAAATAGTGAAAAAAAGACTTTGTTACAATTTGTAGCAGAAAACAAAAAGATTTTAAAGTAAAATATATATATATAGCAAGTGAGAAACTAGAAGATGGAACAGCAGCTCACGTTTTCATCTCTCTGCACTGACTGTATGACTTTGAATAGACTCGGAGTAACAATCCATCAACTCTTCTCTCGGTCCTTTGTAACATCATCTGATTACACGAACTGTTATCAGGCTCCAAATGTCAGAGAAACTACATCTGAGCTGACATTTGGACCAGTCAGACCCCGGTGAGCTCCGTCTACTTTTTCTACCGCTCGTTTTCACTTAGAGTCACCTACAGTGTAACCTTTCAGTGGAATCCTTGTACTACAGTCAGGATCTTTTACACACACTCTCTCACACACACACACTCTCTCTACTCTCAACAGCTCCTCCAGCTCCTGACGGCTGCTGCTCCTCACTCCTGATAAGGATTCAGAGGAGCAGGGTCTTAAATGGAGACACTGAGAAGTAGCGTACCTTGAAGCAGGTGTCTGGGCTTCAACTTGAGCAGCAGCAGCAGCTGGGACCTTCTGCTGAGGCGGGACTGTCGGTCTTCTCCGGGTCTTCTCCCTCTCTTCCTCGCTCTGTCTGTCTATTCTGGGATGGAGGCTCAGGGGGAGAACTGCCGCTGCCGCCGCCGCTGCTCCTCTGCTGCTGCCTCCTCCTCCTCCTCTGCCTCTGGCTTGTTCTGCCACTGTCTCAGCCCCTCTCACTATCATACCTCCCTCCCATGCTGACCCCCCCTCACTCCCCTTTCTTACTCCTCCCCCTTTTTTTTCTAACCTGCCTCCTCTTGTCTCGCTTTTCTCCCCCGTACACATCCTCCTCAAACTTAAGCGTGACACAAAAAAAGAAAGGTCTTTCAACACAGAGCTCAACAACCCATCACCAACAACTGGAAAAACAAAATCTGACACATGATGGATTATAATCCAATCTGGGAACAAACGCCGCTGTTAATACTTGGTTTTATTAAGGGTTTTTTTTATTTTTTTTATCAAATTAGAGGTGGATGAGTTTAAATCATCAACCATCCACGGTGAGAAACAGCAGGATGTAGACAGGGAAGAGTGGGTGGAGACGAGACTCGGGGCAAAGTGTGGCAGCAAGAATGAAAGTGATGGTTTACAATGTGCTCGTAAAAGCTGATGTGATTTTATAGCCTAAAAAGAACAGGAGGCTGAGATGAATGTGGCAAAAGTGCAGAGACTGAGGATTTTCATTGGAAACGACCGGGACTGACAGAGACAGGGTGTTGGAAATGGAGGTCCCAGGCAGGAGGACAGTAGGAGGAGGACGAGCGTCCAGAGAGAATTTAGAGACGTAAGAAAGGTGCTGCAGCCACAGAGGAGACAGAAGATCCACTGCACCTCATCATGAAGGGAACCAGGGGGAAAACGACGTTCATCCTTCATGACCCCACGGGTCAACATCAGCATCTTTTTTTTTTTAAACATCTTTATGAATTCTCCTTCTAAACATGTCACGACAGAAGATTAAGACTCCAGAAGATTTCATTCACTTCTTCTTTTAAAATATCAAATTAAACCCTTGAACAACATAAATCCCCTTCGTCCTAATCGTATTTATACTTTAACAGACATCTGTGATCAATGAACCTGCAAACAAACGTGCCTGATCGTGCAGTAGGGGGCAGTGTTTTGCAGAATTATTTCGATTAATAGAAGTAGGAATGAATATGTTTGGGGAAGAAGGATGTAAATAAGCAAGGCAGTTTTAAACGGCATTTTCTGCAGCGTTTAATAAAGGAAGAAAAGAAATTCAGGGTCTCACTTCTCTCACCCTCTCCTCTGAACCCTCACCCCGTGGAACTGAGTCACGAGGAATAATGTTAAAAACCATGAAAAAGGGCATGACAAATATAACACAGTATCATCTGCTGGACAACGGCTGCAGAAAAAAAATTTGAATTTGAATCTTCACCTGCTGTGCCCCTCCATAATAACCTGGAGCCCTCCAAGGGGGGCCGAGCACCGATTTTGGGACCCACTACGCGGCGTGGTAAGTGCTCTCATCCAGCAGCAGACCACAGGTTTGTTGGTTTGATTCTGCCCGGAGGTGTGAATGTGAGTGTGAATGGTTGTTTGTCTCTATCTGTGGCTCAGTAATGGTCTGGTGAGCTGCCCTCCCCTAATGACTGATGAGACTGGCTCCGACGCCACCACTCTGACAGGCATTACACTGTAGAAAATGAAGATGAACTCCAGCGTAATTCCATGTATAGAAACACTGGAGCCTCAGTTTGTTCTCCTCCACCCGGTGATTCTTTTTTTTTTTGTCATTTTCTCAGACCGTCTGCACGTTTCTGCTCCAGACCTGTGGACAAGGCAGCCGATTGTTTCTACTCCAAATCCAGCCTTCACTACTTTTCATACATTTACTGATCTACAAATGTTAGTTATTAGTTATCTCATACTCACTATATTACATGTGTCAAACCCCAGGCCTGTGGACAGAGTTTCTCGTGTGTATGGTTGTCTTCAGGTCTGTACTAATGTGAACTGGAGGTTTGATGCAATGGTCCAATTCAAATTCAATGTGCAATGTTACGTCTCTAATCAATTCAAATAAAATATATACAGTTATATTAAAAAAACATAAACTAGTAAAAATATTCAAATTTTTCTTGAAGGCAATATTTTAAATGTTATTTTTTATTTATTTTAAAGAAAAAAATGCTCTTCCAATTCTTCACTTCTGGTTAAATGACTGTCAGCAGTAGACCATTCTAGAAATGTTAATCCTATTCAGCCCACAGTTCAGACTGGGCTCCAAATTTCAGCTCCTTGATGGCATTCTATACGCCTGCACTATACTACAGTATGTCAAGTATAGAGAAGTATAGTAGTAGTACTACGGAGTAGTCCAGGCTGCTCTGATTTATTCCAGTCGTCTAGAGTGGAAATGTTGACCGAGGAAGGGCGTGGGCATCATGACAGGTTCGTCAAACATTAAGGACGGAGTAGAAGGGTTACACTGTAGTACTGTACTGTACTGTACTGTAGTGTACTGTACTGGATCAATCTGAGAACAATTGGAACTGGAAGGTGTTGAGCAACAAGAATAGTGCGCAGTACAGGCGGCACAATGGAGAAAATTCTGGTTTGTTTGCGTGTTGTACAAACATGTGGGGCGGGGTGGGGGTGGGGGGGGTTTGGGTGGATGATGATTTTATGTCCTTCCAAGTGTTTTCATCAGTAGTAAAATGTGTCCATTTTTTCACAACGACCATTTGACAGGATCTTTGTCAAATGACAATAAAACACACTGGTCAGTTACAAGTATTCTATTTTTCTACTCTCTCTCTCCCTCTTTCTTTCTTTCTCTCTTTCTCACTCTCTCTTTCTCGGAGATAGCCCTCCACTGCATCTGCCCCTGTTTCCATAGTGACACTCTCCCCGACTCTGGCTCGACATAATCAAGCAAAGGGGGCTGCATGGGGTGGGGGTTGGGGACGATAGAGGAAGAGTGTGTTTGTGTGTGTGAGAGAGAGAGAGAGAGAGAGAGAAAGAGAGAGAGAGAGAGAGTGTGTGTGAGTTGTTGAAGGAATGGCCGAAATGAGACGGAGATTAAAAAAAGGCAAGCAGCAAGAGATAAAAGGGCAAATAATGAATAAAGAAAACGCTGCTAAAGACGGCGTGTCGGGAGCAAACTGTTTTCAGCTGGACTCCATCTCTGTCTGCTGCTGGGTTCAGATCAGGTGCTTCAAAGCCCTGGCATATGGCTGAAATAATTATCATGCTCATCAAATAACGAGATGGCCACTTGTGCTTTGTGGCGACGCTCCCACCAGAGCAGAGAAGAATTATGGGATGGTGTTGATGAATCTGAATTTCAATGCGAGTGGTGCCAGTCGTGGATGCTGTGAACCGGCATCGAATAAAGAGAGAATAAAAACAGAGAGTTCTTTCGACACTGTGAACGAGCGCCGAGACGAACGCTGTGGTCAAAACACGGTGATAACAACCAGACGCTAACGTGGCAGCCGCGGTTCGATAAGAGTCGGGTTTAGATTTTCAAAAAGTGTAGAGAAAACAGTAAAGAAAACAATGGACTGTAGGTGAAAGAGACGATGGAGAAGGAATAACAAAGCTGAGGGGCGTGGGCAGAATCAGCACACACAGACTGATACTTGAATCATTACATTTAACTCATTAATCTCCTATCATCAATCATTCTCAGCATCACAAAGAGACGTCAATACATACAATCCATACAACTGGAAAAAAGAAAAATCAACTATTCACACTCACATTCACACCTTTAACTGATCCACCTAGAGTGAACCATTAACCTAGACTCCAGTCTGGATGCTTTTAAACCACAGAACTGCTGGCACAGAACCCATGTCCACATTGCAGAAAAAATAGAAACTCCATTCAAAAGGACCAGAGGTTGAGCACCGAACCTGTGAGTTCCTGGCTCTAAGGAAACCGACATAATCGAGTCTTCTACCTCTCTGCTCTGAGTCACAGAATGTGACATCTAATTATTTAAAGCAATTTTGTGGACACTAGCTTCAGGCTGTTAAGGGCGCTCAGCGCTGTTGTACCTACAGTCGGTCACTCAGTGTATCTCACAGTTCACCAAGAAATCTAGTACACATCCAATGGTCACTTCCAAAGCAATAAATACCCCATCATGCATTGCAGTCGTGACGACATGGCAGAGAGGAGCAGTGTCCACTTGTCCGTTTTTTTTATATGTGTGACATTAATGACGTAATTAACTGCGTGCCGACGTAGTGTCCGAGAATTTAATTTAACCGGTTAGTCCACTATATAGTGCACTACATATAATTTCCTACAGAGGGAGTAGGGAGTAGGGGAATGGCCCATGTCACGATAGCCTGAAAAGGTAAAAACATTTATTGGTTCGTGTAGTAAACGTGTCGACAAAGTTACAGGATCGGAATGAATTATGCCGTCATGCTAGTGCACTCGAATTGTAAACAGGTGCGTATTGAGTATGTAAAGCGCCCCCTGCTGGAAAAAGTGAGGTATTGTTCACCATTCCAGATCCAAACTGCTGTAAATTCTGCTTTACTACTGAATTGTACCCGGTCTGCAGTGGCATTACTAAACAGCTCCGGAGACTGCAGTCATATTTTTAGACACAGAGTAAATAAAACCACACTGAACCACTAGACTCTCAGGGAACAAAATGAGTCTGGGGAATACACTGTTGGGAGTCCTTACATGAATTATATAACACTACTGCTACATACTGAATACATGAATAATAAAACAGTATTACAACAAATACTACTCTCTCATGGTGGTAAACTCCAGTTGCTTTCTGTAAGAATATTCTCAAATATAAAGGGAAAAAATATCACACATGAAACGACCGTTCCCGATGTCACACTGTCGTTCTAAGAATGATCGTGTCACAGACGTCATCATTTTTATCATATTATTCAGCCGCTGCGGGGGCTCCCACCAACCGCCGTGCTTCCTCTAAGATCAACCAGCCATAGCTTCACAGCACGTGAACTTTCTGCTTCTCCATCGATTTCCTGAGCTGTGGTGTTACTGCCAAGCCTCCCACCACCCCACGGGGAAGGTCAGGTGGCAGGGTCAGCTGGCTGTGGCCCCGGCAAAGATTCAGAGCCATTATTAAAGGGACACTTCTGCAGTGAGGATGCTGGGGGTGGGTGAGGATGCAAGGCAGGAGAGCTGATCCTGAACGGCTCACAGAAGGGTTTCTCTGGAGCGGCTTTATACTCTGTCCTCAAGGAAATGCAAGATGAATTCACACCCTGACCAGCAAGAGCAAATAAAACGCTCTTTATTGCTGCACTGGGAAGCAGCAATAAAGAGCCTGATATTGTGCTACCACTTTGGAGCCTTTTAACATTCTCACAGCACAGAACACAGTGGAAGATTTTACATTCCCCACAGTGCAGACAACGGAAAACACTTTTTTTTTCCTCAGCTGACTACAGTTTTTTTTTTGCTGCTTTTAAACAAATTCTGCAAACACTGAAAAACAACACCATTTACGCAGATGTGCATGTAAAAACTATTATTATGGACTATATTGTAATTACAGGATTTTTTAAAAGGTACTAAAAGCCTCTTGTTGATCAATATTTTCTCAAACAACGTTCCTTTAAAAAAGAAACTGCAATAACAAACATTTTGTTTTTGACAGGTCCTCTTTCACAATTTTTTTTTTTTTTTGCTATCGTTCTTCAGTCTTTTTTACAGCTCCACAAACAAACAACCATTCACACTTGCATTCACACCTAAGGTCAATTTAGCGTGAACAGTTAAACTATACCCTGCATGTTTTTCAGACTGTAGAAAGAAAAAAGAGAAACTGAAGAAAAACATGGCCCACATACAGTAAGATGCAAACTTTGGGGATCAAACCAGCAAACCTGTGATCTGTCTTGATGTAAGGCAACAGTCCTAACCATGTCTGACACCGTATGCCCCCCACCTCCATCCTCCCCTCCTAAATGAATCCTTTTCTTTAGACAGTCAAACTGAGTGGCCTTTATTTTGTTACATTAGCAGTTTGACAGAAACATTAGTCGTTCAATGTGGACTTGTTAATATCCACTGCTTTAAAATGTGATTCATTATTTTGTCTCATGTATCAGGGAGCAGGATCCGGAGCTCGGATCTTTTTGCATTATTCAGTATCTGTTCCCTTTAGAAAAAAGAAACAAGTTTGGACACCCCCCCAACATAAAGTCCACGGCTGTGGAAATCCATAAATAACAATATACTGCATTGCGTTTGGTATTATCCTGGAAATGTCAAAGTTAATATTATATTGAAAAACAATTTATATTCATATATTAAATTCAGGGCCTGGCTCCAGCGCTGACGTGGAGATCAGTATTGGATTGTGGTGTTTTGTACAGTGATTAAAGTTGAGTTATATATTTCTATAATTATAGAAAGATATTTTTCAGGACTTTTCTGAATTATTCTCTGGCAAATCGGAACTTTGTTTCACTGATTAATGGCGAGCTTTGAACCCATTTCTAAACTTTTGAAACAATAGGATTTGGCTATGTTTTAGTCATCCTCATCTAAAATCTAAAAACTGAACTT